CAATTCTACGATGGCCAAATAACCACACATCTTTCCCATGACATACTCTGGATGTGTGCCAAATTCCAAACTTGAATCATCAAAGGCACCCCATTACCTCTCTGCCGTACTATCAAACCCAAACTAAGCCTGACCCCTCCCCCCGCCTTTCACCGGTGGATCTATTCTATAACCTTTTTTTTTTTGGGGGGGGGAGTGAGGGGGAGGGGAAGATTAAAATTAATAGGGCCCAATGTCCGACAAGTTGGCTATTCCAAAAAAAGGCGCGGGGTCGCGGACTTTCTAAAGGATCGGTGGATTTCAAGAATCAGTGGAGGGAAGTATGATGGGTAGACATCATTGTGTTTGATATGGTGGTTTTATCTTGTTCTTTGTTTGATTTATACTGAAAGTAAATAAAATGGTTTGTTGGGGTGGGGCTTGGGCATGCCCCCTCCCTCGACACCAACCTATCCTCAACCCGTACCCGACTCCCACTTACCCTAAACCCTCATTTTCGAAGTTCTCAACCATCAACCCCAAACCCCCTTATCTTCAACCCCGTCAGCCTTAATTCAACTAACCCTCAAACCCTACCCGTCCTCAACAAATTTTCAGCTGCCAAATTTTGAGCCCATCACAATAACCATCCTGGCTTTCAAGAAATCAAAACATGCAACAGCTTGATCCTAAGTACATGATTGACATTATCGGCAATAGTTTTAATGATAGGCAATGGTTATTTTATTCAGTTTACACATTCAATATAAGCACTTGTAAAAAATGAGTTTATGAAAATCAAGTAAACTCCCTAAAAGGTCTTGTGCTTTTACTCCCCGTGAATTCAATTGAAGTCTTCCAAACATAAAGTGTATTTCAAAAGTTTTTGCACCATAAATGAAGTACAGCCGAAGGAGTTTTAAAAAGCGTTTTGCAGTGATCAAAAGCACGAGATATTTGCTCTTATTGTTTTAGTACATTTTTTGAGTAGTTATATTCGACATTTATCAGATTGATTACTTCGTGTCAAATATTTAAGCTGTCAAAGAGAGCGAAACAATCAGCTGTACAATACTTGAAATTAAGCAATCCTTTTCTTAAAACAATTATAAACTACTACTGTCTTACTGACAAGCGATGGGGAAAATGTTATTCTTCCCACATTGTATTAAATCATGAACAAATATTTATACAAATTAAACTCGTTTAATTAATATACATGTATGTAATCATCATGAACTGCCAGAAGTCGGAATATCAAACCATAAAGCATTACAAGGCGAACGACAGGCTTTCCATACACACAGGACTTTTAATAACAAAGCGATTATGATTTTAAACAATCATTGCAGATCTTGAGAACTTGTGATAATTTTTTTTCCACAAAACTAAGATTGGGATTTGCTCGTTCGTTGCTACGACACACGATATCAATAACTATTTCAGTTGAACCATCAAACATGTTTGAAGCATAAATGAAGTCCAGCCGAAGACGTAGATAGTTCCACATTTTCAAAAGCTAGTGTAAAAGGGTATAGAGAAGTTTTATATCAAATTATTCTTTTCTTATAGTTTTGAGTCGTCACTGTAAGCTTGTAACTACTTTGGAGTTCAAAATGTAGAAATACCGCATGAATTCTCAATTGAAAAACTCCAGCATTTGGTGGAGATGGATTTTGTTTGTAATTTTATGCCTTGGACCTGACATAAATTGACTTTGTTCAAGTTTCAGTATTTGTAATTTTTCACAAGACCGCCAGGCAATAACTTTGTCAACACACAGCTAGTTCACAACTGTTAACCAATTATGTTCAATCTAACAAAACCTCATTTCACAATGAAACAAATTCTACTGGAAAAAATATTTCAGCAAACTGTGACCAGAAATTTCCTTATTTTAATTTATTCAGTCAGATTGTGGGTCATATGTGAATTATAACTCCTCATCCTGCGCATTCATAATAAGCTAGTGCGCTCATTACATAATTCAATAATAAATACTCACAGAAGGTTTCCAAATTCTAAAAAAAGAAGATAGTTTGTGTTAAAATGTTGCATGTGTAAATATTAACTTGGTTATACAATAAAATATGATCCACACCTATGAGAGAGGTTGTGGTAAATTATTCATTCAAAATTTGGTATCACCGTAGAAGTCAACAAAGACATTTAAGTTAAAATAATAGAAAATTATCCCATCTGATGGCAGCTTATAGGATCAAATAAACAATTCAAACCAGTCCAAAAACCCTCCTCACTCGATTGGGATGTTTACTTTGTATAATTGATGTTTTCAAAGTGAGTTTCTTGAATAAGCCTCTATGCTAATAACGTCACACTTTGTTTATGTGTGTGCTTTCCTATGGTGCTCAGTGGACCGTTGGCCTCACTGGCTCCATATGAAGGTGCACATGTAAACAAAGTGTGAAATCATTAGAACAGAGGCTTATTGAGTCTTTTAATCAAGAAACACATGCCATCCTTTTTGTGGGCTTTGAACTTTCGGAGAATTCCACCCCCCCCCCCCCTATTTTCGGCACTTTTCTGTTCGGAAAATGAGGAACTTAGGTTGTTTATTTTTCTCAACGTAAAGCATGTAAAACGTTTTTGTTTCTATGCAAAAGTCGAGCACACATATTCATCAAAAACGGTGGTGTTTCAAAATCATCAGAATGAGGCTTTGTACATTTTTTTTTTCAATTGTACATTTTTTTGCAGTCAAGTGTAACTTATACAATAATGCTTACAGATTATAATGTTAACAATTACAGATTATAATGTTAACAACCAGTGTATTCTTCTTTTTTTCGAAGCACCTGTAAACTGACATGCAAGTCTCAACGTTTCATCAAATTGCTATAAATAGCAATACAATATTTTGAATAATCATTACTTTAATCACCAAATGTAAGTCAACAGGCCAGGAAATCATTTTGGATATTTCGTAAAATAAAAAAAAATGATACATGCATGTGATGGATTAAATCTAAATTTTCTGCGCTGGGCACACGCCGCAGAAGTGTAACGTCACGCGGCGTCATCTACAATAGTGGCCGTTCCACACATTGTCTCGTCCGCCAATTTTACCATATCATCTGTACGGGCGACTTAGGTGAACATTTTCTCGTTTAAATATGTTCAAACATTAAGAATAAATAAGCCCGGAAATGATACAATGATTCGAAGCTGACTTTAGATATCACTCAGAACGTCTCGGATTCCGTTATTTGTATTTTCCAATGGATACGCCAACGGGTGACCCCGGCGGCGTATGATGTAGCTATTTCAACAGCGTGTTATATAGGGAACATACAGCCGAGAAATAAAACTGTGTGTGCACGATAACAACCCAAATACTATCAAGGTAAAGAGGAACAAAAATAATTTAATTTAAGAACTTGTTCATGATTGTCTTTTCTATTTTGTTTGCATTAACCTGTTAGTGTTTAATTACACAATACAAACAACTTTTATTTTCAAAAGTGTTTGTATTAATAACATATGACTTCTGGTTAAATGACGTCACACATTTGGCAGCCGAAGCCCAAACGCAAATCGTTATCGTGCTACGAACGTAGTCATGAATACTGATTAAATAATAGATTGGCATTAAAACAACTGAAACTAGATAATTTCAAATTCTTTCTACAATAACTTACTGTCGGAATTTGAATCCTCGCAAAGTCAAGTTGTCCAAACACATCTAGGGACTTTTTATAAACATTTGACCAGTATTACAAAAAAATGTAATGGCATCCCTCACTAAACATTTTCATCATTTGTTTGTAGTAAACCCCTACCGTTTTAAAATTACATTCAATTCTAAATGCATTTCCGGTAACACCGGAAGTAAATACCAAGCGAATGAATGTGTTCGGGAATTAGAAATGCTTCCCAAGACATCATGTACATCCACAGTGAAATGAAGAAGGTGCTATTTAGCATGTCAGTGCAGTTCAAACGATATAGTTCATATTATTTTGTCAAATTTTAAACATTTAATTTGATGTGCAAGGACACCGTGATGACGTCACAAAAGCTTGTTAACTCCATCAATTCCAGAAGAGGTCAACGACCAACTCCAGTCTGGAAAAGACCCTGTTGCCGTCCCAGATCATGTTGGTTGGAACAACTCGGACGACCTATGACTGCATGTGGAATGAGGCTGTAGGACGTAGGCACAGGAGATCGGCGCGACGGACCTATGTTGTCTATGCGGACAAGTGAGTGAGTGAATGACATCATGATGACGTCACCAAAACTTCCACTTCTTTGACAGTTGACTACGGTTCATGTTCGTACCAGGATTCTTCTTTGTAGAAATTATTCAGTTTTCTTAGGCTTCTATGTGCATTTTATATTCAAATGACTTTGACCTTCCAGTTTCCCCGTAATTGGAGGACATGTGACTTTGCATTTTGTGGTAATCAAAACGTTTATCAAATATGATCACAAAGTGTGAACGTCATTGGTCATTTTGTTCATGAGTTATAAAATATTAAAATCGCTTGATTTAACGAAAATCGCTTGTAATTTGATAACCAATGACGACATCATGACGTCAGAGTAATATTACATGCCTGGGATCAGGTTTGAGGTTTGTTCTAAGTTTCGCGTTAATGTTGCGTACAGTTAAGAAGCAAAAAAAAGAGATTGAAATTATCCGTAACCACCAGTATCAATGTCCGTTTGACAGTCGTTATTATTATTAGGCATGTTCATAATTGTACTGAGATAGTATCAATGAAATATTCAAGATATTTTCATCAGAAATATTTTATTCCACAGTGTATACAAAACCGTTGTCAACAAGTGTAAGTGTTATATTTAATGTCAATCAATAATATATCTATTGTATACAAGATGTGGGTAACGCAAAACAAATAATTACAGTATAATTTTGAGACATTTAACAACTATTTCTTTTAATTCAGTGGTTATTGTTTCCGCAAAATGGAATGCAATTTTTAAGTATTCAGCAACACGATGCTCTTATGTATTTATGTGTGGTGATTTTTTATTTATTCGGGGTAAATGAGGAAACCACTGAATGAGGTGTCGTGACTGGAACAACCACCTACCCTGCCGCGCATGATAAGGTATACCGTGTCTCCTTGCTGCAGAACCAGCACCGCGCTCCTAGACATCGACTCATAGTGACTTCCAGTGCTATAGCCAGAGACAACCACGTCGTCGTTCTTCCGGAGCTGGACCCACAGTTCGCTGCTGCCAGAATATTTGCAAGCAGAAAACATAAACACGTAGGTGCCCAACACATTACACGTGAATGTGCCAGTCTCGAGATCGAAGCTGGTACCCGGCAGTAGCGTCGCGGTCTGCTGGAAGGGCAAACGGGTGTTAATGTCCGTAGACACATCAGAAAGGCTCGACCTCGTCACGGTGAATGCAACCCGCTGATTGGAGTCGTCTGGTGCCTCCCCCGGCTCACCCTTTTGACCTTTGACGCCAGTCTGACCGGTAGCTCCAACTAACCCTGGTGTACCCCTCGGACCTACCTTGCCGGGCAAGCCTATCCCGTCGTCCCCAGGGTTCCCAGGTGCTCCCCGCTCACCCATCGGTCCAATCGGCCCAATCTCACCTTGCTGACCTGCATCGCCCTTTGACCCCGGCTGACCGTACGACCCCATCGGTCCTACTGGCCCAGGTAGACCTGGTATGCCGGGTATTGCAGCAGGTCCCCGGCAGCACTGCTGACACACCTGAGACGCAGGACCATCGCCATCCGAGGGAACTGGCCCAGTAACGGAAGCTCGGAGCTTGACAGAGTTACCCAGAAGGAGGGCGATTGATAATACTGCCACACAGATATACATCTGTAAAGAAAAATAACAATAAAAGACGTGTATATGAGAACAAATGAAATGAGGGGAAAATGAGAGAAAAAAAATATTGAAGTCATGCAGACAAACTGTGAATAAGTAAGACTTATGAAAAGTTGTCGTCGTTTGAAAAAGAAATGAATGATTGTTAACGCACCTACGCGGGGTAGTTTTTTAATGTACAACATCAGGTGCCTGGTGGGAATCAATCCATGACAACATGTAATTTGAGCCACCCAGCCCTCACAGTCGGACCATTCACCCCTGATTAACCCCTGGTATCCCTCAGGCCCCAAACAGCCACTAAAACCACCGACTTACCTCGTCAATGCCATTTGACAGTTCAATTTTGGTCACAGGGGTGATCGAGGTAATCCCTATGTAAACAGTGCATTTGTACACATGCCTATGTAAACGTGCACAAGCACACTAGGTTTTCCCGCCAATTTTCAACCCCTCCAGGAGGATCACAAGACTTAAACCTCCTCTGGTGGATCTACCATGGTCCATACTAGGATCTAGTGATAGATGACCTGGGGCATGGCTACCACGTGTCTAGGACAATATAACACAAAGAAATGTGGAAGTGATTTTAACCACACTGAACCCAGCGGTGAACATTTTGTATTCTTAGTAGTCAATTTGTTATAGTATTTGGACACCCCCCATTTTTTTTAATGTACTGCCTCCCCCTCTTTTCGTGGAACCACATGTGCATTTAATATTTATCAGTACATGAGTGTACCAACTTCTGTTTCATGTGAGATACCCCACCTTCACAGGAAACAGCTGTTGGGTACATGTGGCAGGATATGATGTCACTTCCAGTGGGACACTGGCTTGCTGTGTGATGGTCTTTGTTCTTGGGTCATTCTGATCTAAGACTTCGATGAGTGAGGAACATTGACCACCACACCAAGCTAAACCAGTGTCCATTTGTCTTTATTCTTGCAGGTATGTTGTATTCTTTTTCATTTTTATCTTGATGACAGATTATGGAAGTGAAGAGAGGAAACATGTACATTTTGCGTCAGGATATAAAGTTTAGTTAAAAGTGATGCCAGAGTCTGCTAAACTCTTATATAGCTTCTTCGTCTTTAAGAAAGCACATGGTCAGAGTGTGCCAGAGTACAGAGGCAAATACTTTAGCCTTTACTCAATTTTGCCTTCATAAATGTTTCCTGTTTTGCCTGCTAATTATGTGTAGTCATTGTTAATTTCTGGATTGTCTTTTAATGGATAAGATAAGTCGGACAGGTACGGCGTTCCCTTCAACTTTTTTTGTAACTTGGTACTTACAAGAAAGTACTGTCCGCCCAGGTTTAGTCGAGACTGCTCTTAGAGATATTAAGTTGCTTTTGACTTGCGTATACTAGACGGAAGTTGCCAGGTTCTTAAGAGCTAGTTTTGACGGTGTCATTTATAACTTTTATATTGTCCCACTCTATTGGGAGTGACATTGTGACAAGGTTTCATGCTTGGATTGTTAAGAATAATTAAGAACAATTCCTTTGCTTACTCCTGTTTACTTTATTTTATTGAAGACAGAGATTTCTCTATTATAAACTTTACCCCTTGTTTGGCTTACTCAATACATGTACTTCAGGACATTCTGTACTACTAGATGACATGTATGTATTGTACATGGGCATGCATTTTTTGATAGTAAGAGCACAGGATGGGAAGCACTCATGCATAACTAATTAGAAGTGAGTCAGTCCTGGACTAGAGATTAACAGTGAGGTTGAGACATGGCCAGTATCGATTTAGGTGATATAATCGATTATGTTTATTCAGAAGCAGGACAGAATCGATATTATTATCGATACCAGAATCGATTTTCGAATCATGCTTATTGAGTTATTTTGTGCATTTGTTTTTACTATCGTTTTGTGATTCTGATCTAAGACTTCGATGAGTGAGGAACATTGACCACCACACCAAGCTAAACCAGTGTCCATTCTTGCAGAGTTTTGCAGTCTTTTTAATGAACACACTGCAGCGGCTGCTCCCTTGGCCGTCGGGGGTGTAACAAATTGAAAAGCTTCTATTCAACATTTTCACTGAACAAAATTCATTTTCTGTAGAAGAAAATGATGGTAATACGTTAGAGTAAATCAGCCGTCCTGGTTCTTCTGCGACGAATCCGCGCTTTGACAAAATCAAAAGACGGATCTACCTCTCAAAAATGAAATGTTGTCATCAAACTTTGCCAGTCTAAAAATTCATGAATCTGGAAAAGAATCGCTGCGAAAACTTGATTATTATTCCATATGATCATGATAATTATGAACGGGAAATGATTTTTGATATCACTCGGACGAATATGGGCGAAAATTAACTCAATAGTATTTCAGGACCGGGGTATTTTAGGACTGCATGTTTTTATTCAAATACCTTTTAATTTGTTACAAACAGTTTTTGGGCCATTATCGATTACTTGTATATAAATTGATTCATCCAAAGTTAGTATGCCAAATGTTGTGGAGCAAAATCGGTTTTATTTATGCACTGTAAAAATGATGGGCAAATACTTCGTTGGGCAAAATATAAACAACGCAATATGTAGAGGCAATTTTGCCCAATAATTGAACGTTTTAACTATTTGGTCGAATAGTTAACCCATTTTGCCCAACTTTTTACAGTGTGGTTTTGTCTAAAATTATAAATGTTTTCCACCAAATGCACGTTGTATTTTATAAAAATAACAACAACAACATGTTTTCTCTGTTTCGTATTTAAAAGTATACACTTGTTAATAAACAGTTTACTCGGGGATAATTTGACGTATTTGTCGCACGAAAACCTCTGAATTCTTGTTGGCCGCAAAAGAATTATGTTGTACACTAACTATTCAATATCTAAATGCAGGTGGTTTATGTTTAATGTCTCATCCAAAAGAGAAATCAGAAATCAGCGCTGATCAGTTTTGCTATAAGCATCAACTGCCATCTGTTTCGTAACAGATCGAGTCTTAGAAAATCTTTTTTGATTTGTAAATATATGTTCCAAATGTAAAAGAAAACATAAACATTAAAAACAAGCCATGGTTGCTTCGAATCTAGGGGGCATGCTTGGTGAAAACTTACCTACAAAAATGAATTCATCCCAGATATTGTGCCCCACATGCAAATAGTCACCCAAGAGCTTGTGCTTGAAACGTTTAAAGCGGACAGCGGAGCAGAAGGGCCAAATAATTTCAACAAACATCATATCGATTCATGATTTCTACATTCCAGATAGATATAGGAATTTGAACTGGAATAAAACGTTGAAAATCATCATCATCTAAGTCCAATTTGTTCTATTTTGCGCCCTCTACATATAATCTTTCCTAACCGGCGACTCACTTATCATACATTACTTATAAAAGTAGCCTAATAATAAAGCCGGAATTGCGCACTGTGAACTAGTCTTTGTTCCAAGACGTTTATATCTGTGTCTGTGTACGTGTGTAATCATCTTACTAATGAACACTTTTGCAAAACAATTGTTTTCAAACAACAGAGGGCGCACTTCAATGCATTACAGGAGTGGAAGTAAGAGAACGATTGCGCTATAATCGATACTTGTTGAATAAACACAGTGAATAAGAATCGAATACTTTGCAGAATCGATAACAGATTTTTATCGCGGGCCTAAAGTGCAATATAATTTTTGCACGAAGACAAAAATATTCAACGAATGTCTTGGAACCAAGACTAACTGTGAACTAGCAAACTGACAAAGTTCAAAAGTGCAAAAGGTATTGCGATCCGACTCATTCATAAAACCAATAAGACAGCCATGTGTGAGTGGTCAGGATTTACTGCATCCGTTCTTCCGAGACCAACTTTGCATCCTTAATTGTTGAGAGTGATTGCTGGAAACATGTTTACATGTTCATCGCAACACATGTTTGTGTTTGAATAGGAAGGCTTTGAATCAACAGAGAAAAAGAAACGAGGTAGAATATACAGTGATGCTTGATTTGACGGGTCGGAATATACAGGGTCGAGCTTATCCCAAAACAATGTTTTATTACATGTGAAAGAATGACGCAAATTTGAATCACCAGGAACCATACTAAATTTTAAACTATTCGTAAATTAGTAGAAAATGTTAAAGAAATGCAGTCAAACATTAATAGCCATGTTTTGTCAATGAAAAGTACCGTGATTGGGATTCTGTACTGCGCTATTGTTTTGCAACAAGATATCAAGTGAGTTTCTAAGACCCTTAAAGCAACCAGTCATGCATAGTCTTTGGATTTAAAAACAATAATACAATTTAAGTAGTTGCGGAAATATTGTAAGCTGACAGGAATTTCTCTTAGTCCAAATAGAAAAAAAAAAACACCTGATTTCCCGTTTGTTTTCTATTGCCTAAAGTTGTGGCCTCACAAAATGTTGGTCCATGATCTGCATCAACTATTTGTGTAGGAACCATTATTCAGCTATATCATGCACAGCACAATGCCCTCTCACCTTGTTAATTTCAAACACGGATTTCAATAAAGTATCGAGCTATTTGAACCAATGTTGTTTTTCAAGGGGCCGCGTTACATAATTTTACCTGTTGCGTAAAATTAGACAATACACAAAATATAATTAGTAATTCAAATCATATATAAAACAACATGAAACATTAAGTCGATGTGTAAAAGTAAGAACAAAACTTAAAAAAAAAACTGATTCCAAAATGGCCGTTGGGAAAAGGCACAATTTCTTTTTTTTTTAATCTTTAGGGGAAAAAAAAGAAAAATTTAAGCAATGCAAGCTTATGGCGATCGCGTAGTGAAGGACCCCTGTTTAGTTTCCATAAAATTAGAAACAACAGACAGTGTTTTTATTACTTAAAAAATGATCTTTTCAACCTAGAACAGACTTCTCTCAATAAAATGATTTTTTTTGGTAATATTTAAACAGTTTCTTGGGGTAGAAATTACGATTTTCCTGTGTGGTTTACAGTTAGTGTCCTGCGATTCAGCGGGCCTTGCATGTTCACGGTACATCGCGCGGTGATCGTCATCTTTATTTCCGTGTTGCATTTTGTTGTCATCGTCATTTTACCCCCAAATTTCCCTCAAAAACTCAAAATCCTGCCCATTATCTATCACATACCTATATGTTCTTAATGTCGCCAATTAGTTTGGTTAGTCAAATAATTTAAAAGTGGGTTTTGTTCCCTTATAGGAACCGGGCCCGTATAGATACACGATTGCCAAGTTTATTTACAAATTCCCGGAAAAGTAACCAACCGGTTTAATGACAGAAACGCAATGCTCAAAATGAAGATCAGACCCGAATCAATACCCAGTGAAAATCGTTTATAATTAAGCTGAACACGGAATGGGTTTTCAAAATAATGTCCCCGCGGGCACAGTCTTTTACGTGTGTTTGCAACGGAATCATTTTTCTAGACCAAAACATTGTGCATACATTTTTTTTTTACATTTATATTATCCACTGGGATAAAACTTCAACAGGTTAGTTGTAATGCACCCTAGTTCATATTCTATGGAATTTGGTTGCATTTAACAAAATAGCAATGAAGAAAAATGATCCTATATTCCTCTTAATTGCTTGAATTTGTTGTATGAATCACAATAAGCATACATTTTCTACATTGATAAGGGAATCGATCTCATACCGAGGAAGTAAAGTGGCGGTAATAATATAATATAATACAGGTAGACTACCGCAATCAAGTTACAGTCGCTAAAAAGAAAAATATCTTTTGGTATGAGAAATCAGGGTACTGGTTTGGCTAAAGCGTCAGCCACCATCTGTTTAGCAACCGAATTAAGCAAAATACCACTATAGTTGTTCGTAAAAAAGAAAGAAAAAAAATCAACAGAATCTCAGTGGCATGCTGAGTGGATCCCTACATATAAACATGACTTAATTCATGCGAGAGCTTCATTTTTTTTTAGGGAGTCAGTACAGCAGAAGGCCTGCATAAGCAATATGTAAAAACATCAACTGCATCAACTGATTTGTAGAAATGAATCCCAGCGAGAACTATAAAAGTAAAACAATTGTTTGTAAAACTCACCTGGCAAATCTCGTTCTTCTTGTTCTCACAGTTAGGTCTCTCTCTCGGCTTGTCGTCAGAGGCTGAGGAGGAGCTACGGTTGCCTGTGAGGGGAAAAGCGGGCGCTCTTGCCTTAAATATTACCATCGATTTCCTGAGCAGTGACTGAGGAAAATGGCCCGGTTTGTGATTGGTCCCTGCGCACTGTCAATCACACACCACTGACTCACTTCATATTAATGAGACGGATGTTATAAGTTGATGTGGTCCAGGCTATATAGTCACTATAAAAACAGGTATCACCGACACTGAAATAGCCGCATCTTATTGGTGGACACTGTATGGATGTCGGTGACACATCTAAAACACGTGTTTTGTGATTGACACTCATAACCTGTCAATCACAGACCACTCGCTTTTGATCATCGACTAGTATGGTGACTCACTCTGATTGGTGGATAGAAAAGTGACGTTCCCCGGCCGTGATTGATTCAATGTGCAGTCGGCACTTCAGTCTGTTAAATTGTGAGGATATATATTCGGGATTTTATAAGGAATTAAATCTTAGGAAAGCCAGCGGTAAAACTAGGGTTTAACTTCGCGGGGGGGGGGGGAGTGAGAACCCGGGATGTTTTTTGTTCTTCAAATGGTGCATTTAATACATTCAAATGAAACGTATTATTACAACAGAGCATTTCCACATAAGGATTTTAAAATGTGTTTGTGTGTGTGGGGGGGGGGGGGGGATGGGTTGGCGGGCGGGCACAGGCTTCCACTGGAGGAGGAGGGGAAGAATATGTCCCCTGTGTCCCCCATAGTTATGCACCTGGGTGAGGCTTTGCTATTTAATTGAGACTTTAAGGAAATAAAATAAATACGAATTGAAAGAAAGTTAAATGAACTTCGTTAAACTGTATACGCATCATATCCGGTCTGCGTATCACTGCGGCCCTTTTACGGTGGAGGTGTGTTTTTGAGCTTGCGTATCTCTAAGTCCGAATAATCAGTCCCACAAATGGAAGAATGTATGACCGGTAATGCTGAAACTTAAAACCACCCATTCACTAGCTAAAATAATGACACAGTTTAACAATAGCATGTACAATATTTCAAGATAAATACCCCCTCTCTCGATATAAACAAAAAAGGCATGTATGGTTTGACCAGATTTCCGGTGACTGTTATTATATGACTTCCGCATAACGATTCATTCTGATCTAGGTTTGGTGTCTCCGGAAAAATAAATCACACTACAATGGGCAGTTCTGTATATTCAACATCATCACATTGTAACAATCTCTAAGCAAAGCATTCCGACGATAAGGGTCAGGTGGGGAAGTTGAACGACCACACGCCCCCCTCCCCAACCCGGTGGAAAAAAGATAATGACGATGCTACTGATCTAATCAGGGCTGAAAATTAATAAACATATTCCCATGCCGGGCACGAAGCCTAGGTTTACAAAACACTCGAAGTCGCAAGACCCAAAATGGTGTTTTCAAAACTCCGGCTGTGTTCCGTTTCCGGCGGTAATCCAATGGAGCTGGATATGGATATGGAATGAAGCCGGGATTTGAAAAAGTCACTCTCTCGGCGTTTATAGTCTTCGTTAAAACGCCTGGCTGTTTCGCCACTCGGTCAAATACCGGAGCGAGTCAGGATGACCTTTGTGAAAAGGCTACAGTTAGGCCATTAATTTTGACCAGCAGAGCAACTTCCTTGTTATTATTTGGGGAACCGCCAACTTGGAAAATGAGAAAAACCCGGGGGTTGGGAGAGTGTTTGGTGGGGATGGACGCTACCTGACTATTGAGGGCACTGTTGTAGAATGCATGTACATACGCGTACGTATAGTGTTAATGCTTGAAATAAGAATGTAATGCAAACAAAAACAAAACAAAACACCATGTGTATGGCTGTCTTATTTGAAATCCCGTCAGTGAATTAATTATCATGTGGGCAAAAAAAAACTAATGTGGATGTGATAGGTGCAGAAAATCATATGTTAATAGTCAATGACAAAAATAATAGAAACATAATGAATATTAGTAATTGAGCTGATTTTTTTTTACATGTGCAGCGCGTCTTAACAAAATGTAGTAGACAAACAACATGTTTGTTTCTGAGGAAACTATATATATGTTTTAAACACCATGTGATGATAGAGTTTCTTTAACCAAAACAAGATTTTTGTTTTGGACCTTTTTATTTAAACATTACGTATGCAAAGCCCGTAACGACTGTCAAAATCTTGGAACGATTGCGTCATTTACATTGATGAAAATTGAGCCGATGATGGATCCATTGCCCAGGATACCTGCCCAAACAACAAGTGTTTCCGTTGGTTGTGGGGTATGTCATAATGATAAGTCCCTTGGTGTTTTGTTCATTTGAACATAATCTCCTGACATTGTGTGTGTTTACGTTTCCCTCTATTGGAATATGTAGGTTCATTCCCACGATGTCCCGAAGGAATCTGTCTGAGCGATAAGTTAGGCCCCGTGGGTTAATCACAAGATTCTTCTTCGTCGATAGCACTCCTCCTCTGCATGACGTAGGGGTGCCAATTCCAGTCTTGTGATCCGGTAAAGGTTACTGGGCTGATGTTAGGCAGCGTATTTACGCCTCGCACTCACCACTGGAGCAGCTTCAAGTTGAAGGGCTCGACGCAACGAACCAAACTTGTGTCCTTGCTCTTCTTCGTCTGCCGCTGTTTCCATGGCTTCTATATTGAGACTTGTACCATATCCCTGAGTATTTATCGACATAACTCCTACTCGTTGTTCTGCTTGGTACTCTGGAAGGAGGGAATTGCAATGTAAACTGTCGGATGGTCTTTGCAATATTTAAAGTTTCATATTAAGAAACTACCATAAGAACCCCTTTATCCACTGAAACCTGGGCCGCAAATTTGGCCAGCCATCTTTGGTAGCAGAAGCATTGATTTACTGCATAACACTTGAAATTAAATTAATTGTGAAGTACCAATCAATGTTTGGTCGAATTGGCATGGATTAGCTTGCATTTTGTTCCTACTGTTTACGTAATCCAACACACCTTCCTTTGATGTGAAACAACATACCTTCTTGGTGTATCAAAATGATGCCTTTCATTAGACACCAGATAATCTGAAAAGTCGCACAACTTGGAATTCAAGTCCCTTCATTTAATAAGCTGCATCTCTGGACTGGGGTGTCAAAATGAGTGGGATAAAGAATATTGTATAGAGTATTACCTATACTTTCAAACCCATATGATGTAAGTTTTGCACACCTAAAAATAGGGCTAGTATTTTTAATATTTGTGGATTGACTGCTCCATATATTTTTTTTTAAAGTGAGACAGTAATACCAATAATTAAAAATATATTAAATATACGTAAGTAAACTGGGTTTTTATATTAAAAATTAAATTCTCAAAGTAAATATATTTTTACAGTGCAAAAGGTAAACATCATTATCCAATAAAAATATTATAATAAAAAGAAAAAAGCATATGAGCTAATTTTAATTAACTAATGTTCTTATATTTTAATAACGAAAAAAATACTTGCCCACCCGAAAATGGCACGTAAAGGTAACATTAACTTAATCCTTATAGAGAGATTTTTTTCTAATATTAACATGTTTTGTTTAAATTTTGTATCTGTAAAATTGCCAAGAACATACTAACTTGTTGCCCACAGACCTCCATGAGTACGGACGCTGCCCGAATTCAGGCGCGAACCGTGGGTTACTGTTTAATTATTTATGCATCCGTTTTGTATTTACTATTTTGATGACTATTTTATATTTTGATGATAAGTATTTTGTTCATTTGTTCTTTTGTACTTTGTAGGCCTACATTGATTTTGCTGAGGCACAAAAGACCGGTTGTTACTTGATCTTCGCCGAAAACGGAATCAATCTTCAAAACACAAATATTTCTTAAATACATAAAGGATAGCAAGTAAATCAATATCTGGTCATATGTTTCAAAAATCTACACAGTAATGACCGAAGAGCAATACCAATAAAAGCCAAGGATATTATACGTAACTGTGAATTAATATGTTATAATTATGGGAAAGAATGAGGTAACATATAAAAAAAGATCGTTACCTGTTCAGGAACGAAGAGAGTGATGTTTATTCTTGGTCTTCGACCAAAAAAAACCATGAAGAACAGCGGAAAGCGCGCGAACTGGTTTACACAACTAAGAGGGCGCTCACCAATTTAAATAGCAGAAAACGATTACGTAATGAGCCTTATGCACGAGTTGGCCATTTTTGTTAAGTTCCCTGAATGTATTTTATAAATTCTTAACTGTTTAATGGGATGGCGCCAGACTATTTATGCGGCCTTATTTTACTGTCATTTTCCTTTAAAATTGGCTTAAAATATTAGGGAATGTTTAAATACAAATTTTAAATTATTCATTGAAGCAGACTTGAATTTATAAGTAATTTACTTGCTTTCCGTTCTATTCGCATGTTCCAAAAATGACGATTTTACCTCGCTTTTACTTCATTATGGCCGACTCATGAACAACGCCCATTCAAACATATGTAGAGGGAGTTTGCATCGCGACCGTCACTGCATGTACAGTGCCCGTTTGTGTGTTGATTTGAAAAATCAAAATTCTGATTATTATATCCTTGCTCTTGTCATGAAAACGATATTTGGCTACGATATAGCAATCGCAGATCTGTCCTTTGAAAAAAAATATAGCTAAAATATGCAATTTTCAAAATTTTCAAAATGGCGGCCTTTTCTTGTTATTTAACCTTTTTGTTTTTCAAAGGGCAATTCTACGATGGCCAAATAACCACATATCTTTCTCATGACATACTCTGGATGTGTGCCAAATCCCACACTTGTATCATCAAAGGACCCCATTACCTCTCTGCCGTACTATCAAACCCAAACTAAGCCTGACCCCTCCCCCGCCTTTCACCGGTGGATCTATTCTATAACCTTTTTTTTTGGGGGGGGGGGTGAGGGGGAGGGGAAGATTAAAATTAATAGGGCCCAGTGTTCGACAAGTTGGCTATTCCAAAAAAGGCGCGGGGTCGCGGACTTTTTAAAGGATCGGTGGATTTCAAGAATCAATGTAGGAAAGCTAAATGAGTAGACATCATCGTGTTTGATATGGTGGTTTTATCTTGTTCTTTGTTTGATTACTGAAAGTAAACAAAATGGTTTGTTGGGGTGGGGCTTGAGCATGCCCCCTCCCTCGACACCAACCTGTCCCCAACCCGTTCCCGACCCCCACTTACCCGAAACCCTCATACTCGAACTTCTCAACCGTAAATTCCCAATCCCTTATCTTCAACCCCATCAGCCTTAATTCAACTAACCCTCAAACCCACCCATCCTCTACAAATCTTCACCCGACATTTAGGCTCATCACAATATTGATCATCCTGGCTTTCAAGAAATCCAAACATGCAACAGCTTGATCCTAAGTAAATGATTGACATTATCGGCAATAGTTTTAATGATAGGCAATGGTTATTTTATTCGGTTTACACATTCAATATAAGCACTTGTAAAAAATGAGCTAATGAGTCACAGACGACAAATGGATTCTAAATCAAGTAAACTCCCTAAAATGTCTTGAGCTTTTACTCCCCGTGAATTCATTTGACGTCTTCCAAACATAGAGTGTATTTCAAAAGTGTTTGGCACCATAAATGAAGTACAGCCGAAGGAGTTTTAAAAAGCGTTTTTGCAGTGATCAAAAGCTCAGTGATCAAAAGCTTTTTTTCCACAAAACTAAGATTGGGATTTGCTCGTTCGTTGCTACGACACACGATATCAATAACTGTTTTCAGTTGAACGATCAAACATGTTTGAAGCATAAATGAAGTCCAGCCGAAGACGTAGATAGTTTCCACATTTTCAAAAGCTAGTGTAAAAGGGTATAGAAAAGTTTTATATCAAATTATTCTTTTCTTATAGTTTTGAGGCGTCACTGTAAGCTTGTAACTACTTTGGAGATCAAAATGTAGAAATACCGCATGAATCCTCAATTGAAAAACTCCAGCATTTGATGGAGATGGATTTTGTTTGTAATTGTATGCCTTGGACCCGATATAAATTGACTTTGTTCAAGTTTCAATAATTGTAATTTCTCACAAGACCGCCAGGCAATAACTTTGTCAACACATAGCTAGTTCACAACTGTTAACCAATTATGTACAATCTAACAAAACCTCATTTCACAATAAAATAATTGTACTGAAACAAAATATTTCAGCAAAATGTGACCAGAAAATTCCTTATTTTAAATTTATTCAGTCACATGTGAATTATAACTCCTCACCCTGCGCATTCATAATAAGCTAGTGCACTCATTACATAATTCAATAATAAATTTTCACTGAGGGGACCCCAAATATGTGCTACTTTTCGCTCATCTACTCACAGAAGGTTTCCAAATTCTAAAAAAGAAGATATTTTGCGTTGAATGTGTAAATATTAACTTGATTATACATTAAAATATGATCCACACCTATGAGAAAGATTGTGGTAAATCATTAGTTCAAAATTTGGTATCACCGTAGACGTCAACAAAGACATTTCAGTTGAGATACTATAAAATTATTCCATCTGATGGCAGCTTATAGGATCAAATGAACAATTCAAACCAGTCCAAAACCCTCCTCACTTGGGATGTTTGCTTTGTATAATTGATGTTTTCAAAGTGAGTTTCTTGAAAAAAGCCTCTGTGCTAATAACGTCACACTTTGTTTATGTGTGTGCTTTCCTATGGTGCTCAGTAGACCGTTGGCCCCACTGGCTTCATATGAAAGTGCACATGTAAACAAAGTGTGAAATCATTAGAACAGACGCTTATTGAGTCTTTTAATCAAGAAACACATGCCATCCTTTTTGTGGGCTTTGAACTCTTCGGAGAATTCCATCCCCCCCCCCTCCCTATTTTCGGCACTTTTCTGTTTCGGAAAATGAGGAACGTAGGTTGTTTATTTTCTCAACGTAAAGCATGTAAAACGTTTTTGTTTCTATACAAAAGTCGAGCAAAAATATTCATCAAAACGGTGGTAAACTTGTTTCAAAATCATCAGAATGAGGCTTTGTACATTTCTTTTTTTTCAATTGTACATTTTGTTGCAGTCAAGTGTAACTTATACAATAATGCTTACAGATTATAATGTTAACAATTATGCAATCATTTAAATAAAAACCAGTGTATTCTTCTTTTTTTCGAAGCACCTGTAAACTGTTAAAGTTTACATGCAAGTCTCAACGTTTCATCAAATTGCTATAAATAGCAATACAATATTTTGAATAATTATTATTTTAATCACCAAATGTAAGTCAACAGGCCAGGAAATCATTTTGGATATTTTGTAAAATAAAAAAAATGATACATGCATGTGATGGATTAAATCTAAATTTTCTACAAACGCAAGTCGTTATCGTGCTACTTACATAGTCATGGATACTGATCAAATAATAGATTGGCATTGAAACAACTGAAACTAGGTAATTTCAAATTCTTTCTACAATAACTCCCGGTCAGAATTTGAATCCTCGCAAAGTCAGGTTGTCCAAAAACATCTAGGGACTTTTTATGAACATTTGACCAGTATTACAAAAAAATGTAATGGCATCCCTCACTAAACATTTTCATCATTTGTTTGTAGTAAACCCCTACCGTGTGTAGGGACTGCATGTGGAATGAGGCTGTAGGACGCGGACACAGGAGATCGGCGCGACGGACCTATGCTGTCTATGCGGACGAGTGGGTGAGTGAGTGAATGACATCATGATGACATCACAAAAACGTCCAAATATTTAACACAGTTGACTAAGGTTCATGTTCGTACCAGGATTCATCCTTTTCCATTGATCCGTTACGTAGAAATTAGTCGGTTTTTTGTAGGCTTCTCTGTGCATTTTATATTCAGATGACTTTTACCTTCCAGTTCCCCCGGCTTTGCATTTGGTAATCAAAATGTGAATCAAATATGATCACAAAGTGCTGTTCATTTTGTTCACGAGTTATAAAATGATAGGAAATAGTGATACATGTATTTTGAACCAAACTTGCTTGTAATTTGATAGCCAATGACGACATCATGACGTCAGAGTAATATCACACGCCTGGGATCAGGTTTGAGGTTTGTTCTAAGTTTCACGTTAATGTTGTGTACAGTTAAGAAGCAAATTTGCAAAGAAATATCTTCATGGAAAAAAAGACGAAAAAATCGATTGAAATTATCTGTATTAACCGCCAGTATCAGTGTCCGTTTGATAGTCGTTATTATTATAGGCATGTTCATAACTGTACTAAGATAGTATAAATGAAATATTCAAGATATTTTCATTAGAATTTTTTTTTATTCCACAGTGTATACAAAACCGTTGTCAACAAGTGTAAGTATTATTTTTAATGTCTATCAATAATATATCTATTGTATACAAGATGTGCGTGTGGGTAACGCAAAACAAATAATGATAATACATTTTTGAGACATTCAACAACTATTTCCTTTAATTCAGTGTTTATTGTTTCCGCAAAATGGAATGCAATTTTTTTTAAGTATTCAGCAACACGATGCTCTTATGTATTTATGTGTGGTGATATTTTATTTATTCGGGGTAAAGGAGGAAGCCGCTAAATGAGGTGTCGTGATTGGAAGCACCACCCACCCTACCACGCATGGTAAGATACACCGTGTCTCCTTGCTGCAGAACCAGCACCGCGCTCCCAGACATCGGCTCCCAGTGACTTGCACTGCTTAAGCCACAGACAACCACGTCGTCGTTCTTCCGGAGCTGGACGTACAGTGAGCTGCTGGAAGAATATTTGTTCATAGAAAACATGAACACGTAGGTGCCCGACACACTACACGTAAATGTGCCAGTCTCGAGATCGAAGCTGGTACCCGGCAGTAGCGTCGCGGTCTGCTGGAAGGGCAAACGGGTGTCAATGCTCGTAGACACATCTGAAGCACTCGATCTCGTCACGGTGAATGCTACCGGCTGATTGGAGTCGTCTGGTGTCTCCCCTGGCTCACCCTTTTGACCTTTGACGCCAGTCTGACCAGTTGCTCCTACTAACCCTGGTGTACCCCTCGGACCTACCTTGCCGGGCAACCCTATCCCGTCGTTCCCAGGGTTCCCAGGTGTTCCCCGCTCACCCATAGGGCCAATTAGTCCAATCTCACCCTCATGACCTGGCTCGCCCTTTGACCCCGGCTGACCGTATGGCCCCATCGGCCCTACAGGTCCAGGCAGACCTGGTATGCCGGGTAAAGCAGCAGGTCCCTGGCAGCACTGCTGACACACCTGAGACGCAGGACCATCACCGTCCGAGGGAACCGGCCCAGTAACGGAAGCTAGGAGCTTGACAGAGTTACCTAGAAGTAGGGCCATTGATAAAATTGCCACACGGATCTTCATCTGTAAAGAAAAATAACAATAAAATACGTAAACATGAGAACAAATTAAATGCCGGGAAAATGATCTATCATAGAAAAAATATTGAAGTCATGCAAACAAACTGGGGAATCACATCTTGGCCTAAGTAAGACTTATGAAAAGTTGCCGTCGTTTAAAAAAGAAATGAATAATTATGGATGTTAACATTTTGTATGCCTAGTCAAAACTAATCTTATTTGAAAAGCTTCTATTTAATGATCTCACTGAACGAAATTCATTTTCCTAAATGCAGGTGGTTTATTTTGTTTAATGTCTCATCCAAAAGTTAAAATCAGAAATCAGCGCTGATCAGTTTTGCTATTAGCATCAACTGCCATCTGTTTCATAACAGATCGAGTCTTCGAAAATCTGTAGGATTAGTGAATATCTGTTCCAACTGTAAACGAAAACATGATTTTCAAAATATCAAGCCGTGGTTGTTTCGAATCTAGGGGGCATGCTGGGTGATAACTTACATACAAAAATAAATTCATCCCAGATATTGAGCCCTACATGCAAATATTCACCCAAGAGCTTGTGCTTGAAACGTTTAAAGCAGACAGCGGAGCAGAAGGGCCATATAATTTCTGCAAACATCATATCTATTCAGGATTACTACACTCCAGATAGATAAAGCAATTTGAACTTGAATAATACGTTGTGCATCATCATCATCCAATCATCAACTCTCTTATTATACATTGCTTATAAAAGTAGCCTAATAATAAAGCCGGAATTGCGCACTGTGAGCAAGTCTTTGTACCAAGACGTTACTCTCTGCGTTTGTGTACGTGTGTAATCATACTACTAATGAACACTTTTGGAAAACAATTCTTTTCAATCAACGGAGGGCGCACTTCAATTCATTACAGAAGTGGAAGTACAGGATCGATCGCGCTAGAATCGATACTTGTTGAATAAATATGTTGAATAAACACAGTGAATAAGAATCGAATACATTGCAGAATCGATAACAGATTTGTATTGCGGGCCTATAGTGAAATATAATTTTTGCGCGGAGAAAACAAAATATTCCACGAAGGTCTTGGAACCAAGACTAACTGTGAACTAGCAAACTGACAAAGTTCAAAAGTGCAAAAGGTATATATTGCGATCCGACTCTCTCATAACACTAATAAGACAGCCATGTTTGAGTGGTCCGGATTTCCTGCATCCGCTCTTCCGTGACCAACTTTTCATCCTAAATTGTTTAGAGTGATTGCTGAAAACATGTTTACATGTACATCGCAACATATGTTTGTGTTTGAATAGGAAGGGTTTGAATTAACAGAGAAAAAAAGAAACGAGGTAGAATATACTGTGATGCTTGATTTTACGGGTCGGAATATACAGGGTAGAGCTTATCCCAAAACAATGTTTTATTACATGTGAAAGCATGACAGTGCGCAAATTTGAATCATCACGAACCATAATTTTTTTTAAACTATTCGTAAATGAGCAGAACATGTTAAAGAACTGCAGTCAAACCTTAATAGCCATGTTTTGTCAATAAAAAGTACCGTGACTGTGAATCTGTATTGCGCTATTATTGCAACGAAATATCAAGTGAGTTTCTTTTAAAGAATTTACGATCGACGTTTTATGTTATCATTCAACTAAAAAGGCCTATAAATGAACATAAACAAAACGATGAAGTCTCCCACCTCACCACAGCTCTATTATGATGCTTGATTGCGGTAAATGCCAAATAACAGACACTAACCTTCAAGTAATGTTCTTCAAACCTATCACGAAGGAATCCTCAACACTCAAGCAGAATGCTGGCTGAAAAAATAGCAACAACAGTGAATTACTAAAAATCCGCTCAGAGATAACTCTGGAGGAGGAGGCATAGGTGAATTTCACAAGTAAAACCCTCTCTGTCGGGGCGAACAGAGAGGGTGATTTGATTATTTCCAGTGAACTATACAACGGCCTGAATGGATTCACGCAAAAGTATACAAAAAAAATAATTTCTCACAAATAGGATTCTAATCTTGTTTTATCATTAGAAAAAAAACAAAAACAAATTTAATCAGTGCAAGTTTATTTGCAAATGCCCGGAAAAGTAACTACCGGTTTAAAAAAACAATTTACAAAAAATAATTTCTCACAAATAGGATTCTCATCTTGTTTTATCATTAGAAAAAAACAAGTTTAAGCAGTGCAAGTTTATTTGCAAATGCCCGGAAAAGTAACTACCGGTTTTAAAACAAAAACAATTATCATATTGCGGCCATCTTGAGTTTTTCCCTTTTAAATCAACGTAAACAAAGCGAGGCCGGAGGAAAAATAGTCTGGTTCCTTTTTGCACACAATAATTATCATTCAATACTGTTATTGGATACAGGGAACATGACTTAAATGTTGGCAGCATGATAAAGGTTTATGACAGAATCTCAATGCTCAAAATGAAGATAGGTCTGGAATCAAATACCCTGTGAAAATTGTATAAAAAAAAACTTAACATGGAATGGGTTTTTAAAATAATTTCCCTGCGGGCACACTGTTTTACGTGCGTTTGCAACTAAATCATTGTCCCAGACTGAATTTCAGACCAATACATTGTGCATACATTTTTCTCATCGTGCACCCACTGGGCTAAAACTTCAACAGTTTAGTTGTTATGCACCCTACTTCATATTCTATGGAATTTGGTTGCATCTAACAAATTAATACTGAAGAAAATTGATCCTATATTCCTCTAAAATTGCTTGAAATTGTAGTTGTATGAATCACAATGAGCTTACATTTTCTACATTGTTAAGGGAGTCGATCTCATACCAAGGAAGTAGTGGCGGTAATATTACAGGTAGACTACCGCAATCAAGTTGAGTCGTAAAAAAAATATAATATGTTGGTATGAGAAATGAGGGTACTGGTTTGACTATTAGCGTCAGCCACCATCTGTCTGTCAACCGAATGTGTATCTTTAGGAATTGTGAACATCTGTATAACCACTCAGCATTCCAAATGTTAATCAAAATACCACTATCGTTGTTCGTAAAAAAAAAAAAAATCAACAGAATCTCAGTGGCATGCTGAGTGGAACCCTACATGCAAACATAACTGAATGCATGCGAGAGCTTGCGCTTCAATTTTTTAGGGGGTCTGTTCAGCAGAAGGCCGCATACAAAATATATGTATACACATCAACTGCATACACTGATTTCTACAAATGAATCCCAGCGAGAACTATACAGGTAAAACAGTTGTTTGGAAAACTCACCTAGCAAATCTCATTGTTGTTCTCACAGTCAGGTCTCTCTCTCGGCTTGTCTTCAGAGGCTGAAGAGGAGCTACGGCCGCCTGTCTGGGGAAAAGCGGGCGCTCGTGCTTTAAATATTACCATCGATTTCCTGAGCAGTGACTGAGGAAAATGGCCCGGTTTATGATTGGTCCCTGCGCACTGTCAATCACACACCACTGACTCACTTCATATTAATGAGACGGATGTCATAAGTTGATGTGGTCCAGGCTATATAGTCACTATAAAAACATGCATCACCGACACTGAAATAGTCCCATCTTATTGGCAGATATCGTATGGATGTCGGTGACACATCAAAAACACGTGATTTGTGATTGACACAAACAACCTGTCGATCACAGACCACTCACTTGTGGTCACCAACTTGTTGGGTGACTAACTTCAATTGGTGGATCGAGAAGTGACGTACACCGGCCGTGATTCATTCAATGAGCAGTTTGCACTTCAGTCTGTTAAATTGTGAGGATATGTTATTCAGGATTGTATGTGCAATTACATCTTAGTAAAGCCAGCGGCAATACTAGGTTTTAACTTTGCGGGGGGGGGGGTGTTTTTGTTCTTCATATGGTCCATTTAATAAATTCAAATGAAAGGTGTTATTACAACAGTGCATTTCCAGTAAGGATTTAAAAATGGGGAAGGGGGGGGGGGCACCGGCTTCCACTGGAGGAGGAGGGGAAGAACATGTCCCCCGTGTCACCCTGTAGTTGTGCCTCTGAGTTAGGCTTTGTTATTTAATTGAGACTTGAAGAAAAAAAAACAACAACTAAATACGAGTTGGAAGAAAGTTAAATGAACTTCGTTAAACTGTACGCATCATATCCGCTCCGCGTATCACTGCGGCCCTCTTAAGTGTGTTTTTGAGCTTGCGTATCTCTGAGTCCGAATAATCAGTCCCAGAAATGTAAGAATGTATGACCGGTGATGATGAACCTTAAAACCAGTATGACTCAGTTCAACAATAGCATGTACAATATTTCAAGATAAATACCCCCTCTCTCGATAAAAACAAAAAAAGCATGTATGGTTGTACCAGATTTCCGGTGATTGTTATTATATGACTTCCGCATAACGATTTATTCTGACCTAGGTTTGGTGTATCCGGACAAATAATTCACACTAGAATGTGCATTTCTGTATATCCAACATCATCAAATTATAACAATCTCTTAAGCAAAGCATTGCGACGATGGGGGTCGTGTGGGGTAGTTAAACGACCACACGACCACACGTCCCCATCCCCAACCCGCCGGTTGACGAAGCTACTGATCTAATTAGGGCCAAAATTAATGGCTATGTTTCCAAGCCGGGGACGAAGCCTAGGTTTACAAAACGCTCGAAGTCACAAAACCTAAAATGGTGCGCGCGCTGGCCAGAAATCGGAGACTTTTTAAAAGGCCCTAACCAGAAATTGTAACCCAAACAATTGGGTAGGCACAAAACCAATTTTGGGTAGTTGCAGTTTTCACCCCGTGTCTATGATTGGGTAAAATTTAAATTTGTTAACCCATTTGGGTTGACTGCGCAGTTGCCATTGCGGCGGAACGTTAAGAAGAAAATGGGTACAGTTCAAAACGTCCCTTTGGCGGGGTATCAAAAGTAAGTGGGGAAGACGAAACAAACTTCAAAACGTGGGGGAAATAGACCCCACCTCATCGTTACATCAGCCACCTAAGGGAGTGAAATGTCTATTTCTGTTCGTATTGAAATTCGACGACAATTAATAAGTGAGATTACCGACAAGACCACTAATAAAGGAAGTGTCTCGGACCCCCTTCCACCCTCATTGAAGCAAAATCTTTTCCCCTAGAGCTGGGGGAGACAGAGCTTTATGCTGATGTTGGAATAATGGAACTCCAGTACAACTCTCCCACCCAGTTTCACTATTGCACCTATCGTCAATTATCTCGACCCAATCTCTGTGAATCGTATGTCACGCTTTCAACCCACCCGTATCTCACTTACCCTAAAACCGAACCTCTCTACCCATATCTACCTATATTATATCGGCCCTCGTGGTCCATCTTCAACACCCATCCACGCTCAATCAACATCCATCCTTAAAACCCACACACCCTTAAGTCAAGCACCAAACTGAATCATTTTGACCTGTAAACGCACACACACAATTGTATTTTGTCTGCAATTATTTTTATCAAATATATAAAGATAAATCTAAGTAGGATACTTATTAGTTAGTGAGAGGCAGATTTGGGATTGTATTGTTCACGACGACAAAATAATGCACAACCTAAGTATAAGTCTTTGTAGTGCTACTGTCATGTAAAATCGATTGACTTGTTCAAAAAATACTGTATTCGTGATATGTTTGGAACCCTATGGTCCAGCTGAAGGAGTTTTAAAAAGCGGCATGTATTGCATCCACACTATAAAAAAAAAAGAGTTTTTATGTATTATTTACATTTTCTAAGTACATATACATGTTTATTTATACTTGACACTGATCACATTTGATTACTTCCTGTTGTAAGTTAGATTTTAAGCTGAAATATAATTCACTGTCCTAGAAATTAAGCAACACCTTTCATAGACCAACATTTATTAACTGTTAATGGATTATAATTGACATGCGTCAAGAACAATGTTTTTGGGGGCCTGCGATAGTGTCACACTTAACAACCAACATTGCATTAAATCATCATTAAATCAAGATTAAACTTTCAACGTATATTAAATGGAATTAATCAAATCCAAAATTATGAAATGACATGGGAGGAGAAATGAAAAAAAAAAGATTCGGGGTCATATGCAACTTCTTAACAAAAATGGAAGGCATAATTTGGGCGTGTCTATGCGCCCACATAAGGAAAAAAATCAAACCATTATCCGAAAACATGACTTTTGAGCCGGTGTCTGAGGACAGGCTCCCAAGGACTAATGCTGACATTGTAAGCAGGGGTGGATCCTCCAGGGGGGCATGGTCCAACTACAAAAGTTAGATACCAAAGGGAACGTACCTAATCCGCACCGATCCGCTCCAATTTGCACCTATTCGTATTAAACTCTCTCTAAGGCAGTGTAGATCATTTGTCTTTTGTGCATTTTATTTCGTTTGACGCCAAAATGGTGCTCAAAATATAAAGACAGGTGCATAACAACTAACTTGATGAAGTTTTAGCTCAATGAATACTGTATATACCAATATTCTAGGATCTCGATTTCAGTTAAACAGTTGTCAAGTCTTGTTTTAAATTGCGCTCGAATTCAGCATCCGGGACACGATCTCATTCAGCCAATTGCATCTACGCGATGTCACTCACTGAATTGAGCCAAAGAATAACTTGTGCATGGCCTTTCCACAGTAAAGGGGTACAAAAGTGTGACATGGGATTGGGAAATAAAGGAGGATAATAATATCAAGTTTTTTGTCATATTTTCCACTTGTACATTCCCACCCCATTCTTGGGGACTGTGCTTTTAAAGAATTAAAGACTTTCCAGGCATATTTGACAAGATATTGATACTCAAAGTGCTTCGTACGTAACATGAACGGAAAGTTTGTTTAATATTGATAAAAAGTTACAATTACAATAAATGCCTTTATCTAATATTTCATGCTTATCCATACAGCATTGTTACCTGAAAAACCAAGACAATCAACTGAATATTTCAGATGTCACAGGGTATTATGTTCAGAAAATTGATAGAAAAATGTCACACAACATTTCTGTCCACGTACGTTACGTACGTTACCTAACAGTGTCTTGAAGACCAACACAATTATGTTCATTGAGGCTGTTAGCCCTCCTAAAGATGTTACAAAATTATTCATAAATACCTGATACAGAGTTTAGCCAACCCATATTGGTCGAGAGCCCGACAAGTGGCCGGTCTTAAACAATGATACAGGCATGGGTGGCTGGTCATAAACACTTTTCCAGTGTCACATGAAATTTGGACTCCAATGAAATCCGGTGCCTATTAACGTTTCATTGGCGTTCACATTCCTCACGTATGCATGCGCAGTACTCCCGGTGAATCAGTACAGTGGAACGCCGCTATACCGAACACCGCTATACCAAACATTCGGCTATACCGAACATTATCCTTGACTCCCGGTTTTGATGTACAAAACGTACCGAACATCTTTGTCACAAAAAGTCAACAGATTAACCAAAAACTTACCGGTTGTACACGTATCAAACACTGTTGTATTTCGTAGTCCGAAATTCACACTAAACCAACCCAGCTGCGTTTTGCGCGATATCGCGCAGTACGTGCGACGCGAACGCCAATCTCCTTGTAATGTAAGTAGTTGTAGAGAGACGTAGGCCTATTCCATATTATAGTCAGAGGGTGTTTCATAAAACATGAAGTAAAATTGTTGAACAAAATGGTCGGCAACGTCTAGTTGTTGACTTGTTTTGACCTTTGAACCAAAAGATTTGTGGGTTTTTTTTGACCGAAAAGGTATTTATGAATGGGAATAAATGTATGTTTGGTCGGAAATAAACACTCTGTTCAAGACCGGTAGGAGTCTGGATGGGTGATAATTACCCGCGGCTTCGCCTCGGTAATTATCACCCATCAAGACTCCAACTGGTCTTCAACAGAGTGTTATAATACCTCCCAAACACACATCATGTCAATATGTAGGGAAAAAATCTGTCTTTTGTTACGTACGTAATGTTTACGATGCCCCTGAAATCTCTTAAGAAAAGAGAAGGTTTTCTATATTGTTTGTACACATGATCATTAAGGTCTCAGGAATGCACAGGGAACAACTGAACACAATATCTTGCTTTGCTGTACCATCCAGTGTCCCCCTCTCAAATCCCGAGTTTGCAGTCAATTGTACCCCAATAGGGTGGAAAAAAAGACTAAATCGGCAGCGCGTGCATACCATAGACATCATAAAAATACAATTGTCTCGCCTTACCGAAGTTCAGGAAGAGACCATGTCTGTATGTATGCATGTGGTTTTTCGGTTAAAATTTCGAAAAACTGGTCTCATTTGAATAGTTGAAATTGGAACGAAACTTGGCTCATCATGGCAACCTCCATATGATAATGATGTCAAAGGTTACATACCAAGGTCAAAGGTCATCTGAGGTCAAGTTGTAAATTAGGCTGCAAATATCAAATTGGTCTCATTTGAAAAGTTGAAGTCCAATTGGAATCAAACTTGCGTCATAGATGCAACATCGCTACCTAATTCACATGATAATGATGTCAAAGTTCACAAAATAATAATAATAATAATAATAATAATAATAAAAATAACATCTGAGGTCCAGTCGCAAAATAGGCTGCAAATGAAAAATGCGTCTCGGTTCAAAAGTGAGTCACTGTTTAAAAAATAATAATAAAAAAAACCAGGCGAGACGTGTGGTTCGAGAACCACCTTGTTTTATGACATTCTTTTATTTTTAGATATACATACCAACATTTCACACACAAAAATGTTTTGGTCTTTATATGATAATTAGTTCGCTTTGAGATTTTTTATTTAAGATGCTTATAAAGAGTGCTACACTTAAGCACTCACAACAATTCGAGAATCCAATGCCGAAAACAGATGTACGCATGCGCTAACAACAATATCCAAGTGAATTATTTCGATGTAAATATAATGCTTACTTTACACTTACTCATAGGTTATTCGCTTTTGGGTAAACGGTGGAGCGATGAAAAATCCCAGTCACACACAAAGTGTGGGATTGGGTTTATATTATGCGTTGTTAATATTTGTCTATTCAGGGTAAAGGAGGAAGCCACTGAATGAGGCACTTCGAAAGGTGGGATGACTCCACGCTTTACCTTGCATTGTTAGATACACCGTGTCTCCTCTCTGTAGAACCAGCACTGCGCTCCCAGACAACTGATCATTGTCGCTTGCATGATCGCCATGGGCAGTGACAACCCAGTCGCTGTTTTCCCTAAGATGAACCCAAAGGTCTGAGGTGGAATGATATTTGCATACCGAAAAAGTGAACGCATAGGTGCCCGGCACACTACACGTAAATGTGCCAGTCTCGAGGTCGAATGTGGTACCCGACAGAAGCGTCGTGGTCTGCTGGAAGGGCAAACGGGTGTCGTGACTCGAAGAGGTAACCGAGCTGCTCGTCCTGACCACGGTGAATGCTACCCGCAGGTTGGAGTCGGCTGGTGACTCCCCTGGCTCACCCTTTTGACCTTTGACACCAGATTTCCCGGTTGCTCCAACTAAACCTGGTGTTCCCCTGGGACCTACCTTTCCAGGTAGGCCTATCCCGCCGTCACCTTTAGACCCATTGTTCCCAGCTGCTCCCCGCTCACCCACAGGTCCGATCTGTCCAATCTCACCTTTATGACCTAACTCACCCTTATCGCCCTTTGACCCCGGCTGACCGTACGGCCCTATCGGTCCTACTGGCCCAGGCAGACCTGGTATACCGGGTATGGCAGCAGGTCCCTGGCAGCACTGCTGACAAACCTGAGACGCATGACCATCACCGTCCGAGGGAACCGGCCCAGTAACGGAAGCTCGGAGCTTGACAGAGTTACCCAGAAGGAGGGCGATTGACAGAATGGTGGCCACGCAGATCTTCATCTGTAAAGAAAAATACCAATAAAATACGTAAATATGAGAACAAAGTAAATGCGGGGAAAGAGAGAGAAAAATATTGAAGTCATCACAAACTGGGGAATCACATTTGAGTAAAACTTATGAAAAGTTGCTGTCGTTTGAGAAAGAAATGAATTATTTTAGATGTGAACATTTTGTTTATATATCCTTAGTCAAAACTGAATAAGTTTCTCATACTCCAAATCTTTAAAGTATTTTCTATAGAAGTTAAAATGGGAAGAAATTTTAAATTGAAAAGCTCCTCTTTCAATAACGAAAAAGCAATACCCAGAGCTTTAAATTAATGATTGCTCCATTTTAGGCGTAGTTCCAGGGGAAAAAAAACACCTCACTATTTTGCTAGAGCCAATATGAATAACCTCGGATTTATTTAGGTTGATGGTCAACTCTGAGCACCGCTTGAAATCTTCCAAAATATCAATTGAGCCTAAGGATTTCTCTGATCCGTCCCAAAAAATGGTTGTATCATCGGCAAACTGAACGATTTTTAAAGTATGCCCATTTACCTGAAGACCAGAAACATGTTGGTTATTCCTAATGGCTACAGCAAGAGGCCCAACGGCTAGAACAAAAAGATAAAGTAAGGGGCAACCTTGCCTCACTCCTCGTGTCAATGGAAAAAAAATCAGAGGAATAACCATTATGAATAATAGTACTCTCAATGTTACTATAAAAAACTTTAACACATTTTCTCAAGTCCTCACCAAAACCAAAATATAACAAAACTTTATCCAGATACTGCCATTCCAACTTATCAAAGGCTTTTTCAAAGTCGACACAAAACAACATACCAAGAATATTTTCATCTTCTGTGTACTGTAAAGCTTCAAGGATAGTAATAATGTTTTCGCCAATGTATCTACCCTGGATAAAACCTGTTTGATCAGAACCAATGAGAGAGGTTAAGTGATTCTTAAGTCTAAAAGGTATAGCTTTTGCAGCTATCTTGTGTCACACAGTCACTTTTGGTGACTCCATCGGACAAATAGAATTTAGGAAATATGCCATACACTCCCATGAAATGAATGAAAACCAACTAGACACTTCTCAATATTCTATATACAGTATACAAGCAAATTTATTTACACAAAATCCCCAAATTTCACAAAATTATAAATTCACAAGTCCAAAACAATTTCTATAACTTGACTTATTCAAATCAGATACAGATTTCCAATAAATTCTCAATCTGCAAACTTCTGCAAATTTGGTATTTCTCAACGCTTCGATGAAATAATACTCTCAAAACAAATCACTTCCAAATTCAACTATGAGAATTTCAAATATCAATCAATTCGCACTAATTCTCAATCTTCAAACTTCAGGTCTCAAACCATTAATCAATAACCAATCTCCAAAAACAAAATTGTCTCGAAATGTGATCAATAACCTTAAATTTCAAATTTCTACACTTAAATTTCAAATTTTACTCGAGTTTCAAAATCTATACTTCTCAAACTTACGAAACTCACTTAAACTAACAGGAAATTTTCTGTCTTCAAAATCACTTCCAAAATATAGTTTCCAGACTTCTATTGACTTCAAGATGTTCCAAATTCACCTCAATAACAATCTCAAATCCAATAAACTTCAACTCCAATATCTATGTGAATTAAATTTCTGTTTTCAACTTCCAGATTTCACATCAAATTTCAAGCCAAAATTTTGAATCGGTTTTCAATTCAGAAAAACCTTTTCAATATCTCCGGACCTCTAGATCAGGAAATCTTAATATTTACAAAATTGTTCCCGACACTTGATATGTTATCAGTCCTAAACGTTCCGGGGACGTCACAGTTTATAAGGGAAGATGATGAAGTTGGCGATGCTAAGCTTGGTGATCCCAGTCTATAATGTGCAGTGCCACACTCTGATTCCCGTCCAACAGATCAGATACAGGTGGTACGTCACTTCTAACCAGTGCGGTAGGGGAAGTACAGGTAGCTCTCGGCACAACAGAGATGGTGTAAAAGTAGCTCAACTTCAAACCCCGGAATTACGTGCCATCTAAAGAATTAATATTATACCAAAATCCGATTCACTAAATTGAAACCTTAACGTTTTAGTCCTAAAGAAAACCAGAATTATTTTATCTTCATGTTTTTGCAAAGTACCTTAATTTTACACTGTCTTGATGAACGATTTTGAGATTTAATACAATCACATAAAAGATAAATCAACTTAAAAATGGTGATGAATAATAAAACCAAAATTTGTGTAAACTTACGGTAAGGAGTTTCTTCACTCGAATAAATCAGAGAATCTGCTTGTCACACAAGGCTGTTTAATTATTCAGCACTTTTTAGGCAATGACACACTGGATATGTTTGGCAAAGCAAAATTCAAGAGTCCTGCAAAATACTGACTCTTCGGCTATCGGTCTCTGGTCTCAACTGACTAGGCCGCACCCCAAGAAAAACTGACAAAAATTCCAAGCTCCACTAACCATGGCACTCAACAAAAGGCACATTCCAGCAACACTCATACAATCAACCATACACCACATATCTGTCCTTATAAGGTACATTCACTCAACTGAGAAAAAGAAAAGTATGTGAGAGCAAGACCTGATTACATATTCATTAGGCCTAAACTATTAGCCAATCAATGTATTGGGGAATTAAATAGACACAGACTGGTTCTTAGATGAACTTTATTCATTTAAAGGAACAACTTGTACAAAATTACTGTTAAAATGAGAAAATTACACATCAAAATAAGAAAATTACAGATCAAATGTGACATCTTGTAATCAGTGTTCAAAATCGAAATTGGACGCCAGTTACCTAAAAACAGAGGATTTGTATTTGTCTTGGGTAAAAGAGTAATAATCCATCTACTCTGGGAAACTGACATTCACCCAAGTCAAAAATATAATTAAGAGCATTAATGAGAAAATGATTAATTTCAGGCAAGAAGGACTTATAAAACTCGGCTGGGAACCATCGGTTTCTGGGGTCTTACCATTGGCAAGAGAATTGACAACTTTATAACATTCCTCTACCGAAAGCAAAGCTTCGCATGCATTCTTGGTTCAGACTGGTTATCTAAGTGATTAGCTTCAAATGAAGACTGATATAAATTATAGTAGAATAAACGTTCTTCAAGCAAAATTGTCTTTGGATCTGACTCAAGAGAATCATTCACATATAATTTAGAAATAATTTTATTAACGTAATACCGTTTCTACAATTTTAAGAAAATACTTGGTACTTTTTTTTCTCCTTCCTCGTGCCACCTTGCTTTCGAACGAATTAAAATACCATTAGTCGTATCCTCTATAAAGCTCTCTAACTCTTTTTTTTCTAATGTAAAGAATTGAGACTCGGCAGATTATTTAAATTTGCATGTAAATGAGATCCCAGCCTATTTATTTCAGTACAGAGCTGCTGCTCGACCTTCTTATTCAAGCGTTTCTTCCTGGAGGAAAAATAAACAGAAAAACCACGAATGCTACATTTAATCATATCCCACCGCAGAGCTGGATTGCAAGCTGCATTATCAACGGCAGAAGAATGAATAACCTCTTTATGCTCACTCTAATACTTATGATCGTTAAGCAAAAAAGAATTCAATTTCCAAAACCCAGGCCCTCGAGGCTCCGAGCCGAGTGAAAAAGAAAGAGTGATTACTGAATGGTCCGACTTAAAACCACTAACAATATCAGCACTGTCAATACGCGAGATTAAATTGAATGAAACTAAAAAAAAAATCAAAGTCTGCACATAATAGGGGGCTCATGGTTCGAAGTCCAGGTGTACCTCTTAAGATCCGGATTTTTATCACGCCAAATATCAATGAGATCAAATTTTTTATCAAACATAACAGTTCTTGTTTAGCTGCAAAATTGTAGTAAAATACGTCCCCTAGGATCATGCCATGTATGGAGGATGTCAAATTAAAAACTAGGCTTCAAAAGAATACAAACACCAGCACTGTTAGAAGAAAAACGATTAAAAACAATTTTATAACCCCACTCACTAATCCAGAATTTCTCTTTTTCAGGAATGCTGTGAGTTTCTTGGAGGAAACAAATATCAAAAGACTTAATAATAATAATAATAATAATAATAATAATACTAACGAAGTTTTATAAAGCGCACATATCCACCAAGGTGCTCAGGGCGCTATTACAATGAAAACGAAACAAAACAAAATCAGTTTAATTCCAAAAAACCCGGATCTTACGACATGAGGTGTGTTTTTAGAGATGTTTTGAATGAGTGAATAGAAGTGGAGGATTTGATATGAAGAGGTTGTTGATTCCAGAGATGTGGTGCTGCAACAGAGAAAGATCTGCTCCCCCCTCCCCCCGGTACGATGAGATTTGACTTCTTGAGGAAGATATTTATTTCCAGATCGAAGGTTGCGAGATGGTTTGTATATATTGAGCATGTCCAGGATGTACGCAGGTGCTTGCCCATTAAGTGCTTTGAAGACAATGAGCATCAGTTTGTAGATGATTCTAGACGATATTGGGAGCCAGTGAAGATCCAAAAGGATAGGTTTTATATGGGAGTGTTTTGTCGTTAAAGTGACCACACGTGCAGCAGTGTTTTGAGGCGTTGAAGGTGGGATAGCTGAACATCTGGAAGCCCAAAGAAAAGTGAGTTTCCCATATCAAGACGAGATGTAACAAAGGAGTGGACAATCTGTTCTGTGGAAGCGCGATCAAGATATTTTCGGATCTTTCCTTTGTTGCGGATGTGAAATGAAGCAGAGCGAACTGTGTTAGAAATGTGATTCATGAACGACATCGACGAGTCAAAATATACACCAAGATTGCGAACATGGTTGACTGGTTTGATGTGAGAGTCCCCAACAGTAATAAAAAAAAATAGAGATATTGGAAAGTTGCTGTGGAGAACCCATAAACATGAACTCAGTTTTTTTTGTCATTAATTTTCAGGAAGTTGTCGTTCATCCAATGACGAATTTCACCAACACAAGCCTCCATGCGAGTG